TACCCGAGGCAAGAAACAGAACCTTCCCCTATATGGGGAAAAAAAAAAAAAGAGGCAAGCAGAAAAGGCAGAGAGGCCTCTGGCAAGCGGGTTCACCCAGCACCTCCCATCATCATCCAGGTAAAGAAAATGTTTGATGTCTGGGCTGCTGTGCAAAACAGAGTATCTGCAGTAACTTGTTACGTGTGAGTGAGCTTTTAGACCAGCTCATTACATACCAAATGCACCTACCTACCATGGTTAATAAAACAGCGTTGATAATGTTTGCAGTTAGCAACCATGCAGGAAGGGAAAATTTCAGACCACATTTGCCTCACGCTGAGACAGCAGACACCAGATTTTCCATGCATCTTGGTGACTTCACCTTGCCTTTTTGTCGTATGAAAATAGGTGGGTTTATACTCAGTCGTGAAAGAAACAGCTCACTCTTCGCAGTTAACCAGAATCCCCCTTGAAAGCCAACTCCTTGATGCCTACCTGGGTTTAGGGTGTAGTAGGAGTGTTTCAGTGATGGGACCTCTGTATCATGTCCATGAAAAACATGGACGCTAGGGACAACTGCCACGGTGTGTTGCTGGGCAGCTGAGCTCCAGATACTCATTTTGCATCTTTCACAAGAGGATGTTCAGACCGCACAACCATGTTAGGCTCTGCCCGGTTAATCCTGACTTCTACTCACGCCTTGCTCCCTGCATGGGCAGCGGAGTTGGACGGGCCAAAATCCCACATGCAGTTTTCCTGGAGCCGCTACCTTTGTGGCTAGTCCTGCACAGCTTTCATTAAATCTCTCTCCAGCAGGCTTCGTGCCTACAGCGAGCTGAGAAATAAACTGCAGGCTGCAAACACTCTGCAATTACTCTTGTGCTTCAAGCATCGTTATACAACAACTCATTAGCAAAGGAAGAAAATACAGATAGTCTGTATGAATAAACTAACAGCTTAAACCGTGAAATAAATATGACTTATGACACTGGAGTATGCGTTTTAATATCTCTGCTGCATTTGTCAGCCTTGCATAAAATTTAAGTTCCTAGTTACTTGAAAAGCCTGAAAGATACTTCCCCAACTATTCTCCTCCTCACGCATAAAGTGATTTTTGCAGGCCTTCAAGTTTCTCCAAGTTCTCTTTTGCCTTAAGTTTTAACACTAGGCTGAAAACAGGGGAGTGGTGAAACACTGGGCTTGAAGGGAGTAACATGAACTCAATCCCTGCAGCAAACCTTGGAGGTAAATGGAGGGAAAACAGAGGGTCTCCATTTCTTCCCCAACATGTTCCAGTTCAATTTTTCTGCTTCCTGGTACTTCCATAACACTGGCCGGCGCTGAGTGGGAGAGAGCACCTGATGGCTGAGGGTTTTCCCTCTGCTCATGCGCTGGGTGGGGGCTTTGCTGCACAGCCTTTGCGAGGGACCAGCGTTCCCATTTTCTCAACCCGTGTAACGAGGGAGACAAGACCAAGCAAGCCACCCGTTACAAAACGCTCTGAAACCTCTACCTAAGGCTACTAATAAAAGCACCCACTCTCTAATTAAGCATTTCTTGCCTACAGTGTGTCTGCAGGAAAGCTTTGGCAGCATGGGCCTGCACAGAAAGGTGCTTTAACTCCTGGAAGCCGCAGCCGCTTCAGAAGGCTGCGCGTTTGTTACGGCTGTGCATGCTGCTGGGTCTGGGCATTTTGATACACAAGTTTGAACATCCCCTTCTATAGAAACCAATCGCATTTTTTAGAATGAAACTGCAGCAAAATGGAAGAAAGGATTAAAACTTAGTGTTACGAGCACAAAGAATTGCCCCTAAAGACTTAAAAGACTCTTGCGGGAGATACAGGAAACAAATCCATATAGTAGAGCTGATATTTCTCTCAGCTTGTCAGAATAAATAGATGATTTTTATCTCTCCTAAGAGAAGTGGCACATGAAAATAAGAAAAACAAACCCAAAAGATGAATGCTCCCGAGAAGCCTGTTGGGTGTGAGGTCAAGGTTGGTTGCCACTTTCACCGGTGCATTGCTATGGATATTAAAGGCAATCATCTTCCACAGGGGCACCGGGAGGAGATGAGAGCCACCACTCCAGTGCTCTTGCCTGCCTGAGGCTACGTACAAAGCAGGTACCTTTCTCCAGGTAGCGTCTCCCCAGCACAACCCCAAGCCAAGTCTCCTCGGAGGTTACCAGTTCACCTCGGGGAGGCTGCAACAGGCCTCGCAGTGTGAAATGCCCACGTGCACGCCTGGAACAGTGCGGATGCCAGCCCGGGCAGACCTCCACCCAGCAGTACCTCCGCAGGAGAGCCTGCTTAACGGCATTTCAGCTGAAATATGTATATATATCACATCTTGCAAGAACAGAAGAGCACAAGGAATCTCATAGTGTTTTTAAATGAGTACCTTGAAAAGCAGAATCATAGAATTCTTAAGGTTGGAAGGGGTCTTAGTCCCTTCTCGTCCATGACTTGGGAGGAAAATCCTCCGTGCAAGCTTTAAGCAGCGGTGAAGTATAAACAGAAGTCCATATACACCACGTGGAAGTTTAACTGCTGCTGAGGAGAAGCCAAAAGATGGGCTTCTCACGTCCCATGCCAAGGTCTGTGCAGGCAGAGGTGCACAAGACGCACAGGCCATCCCCGTGTGTGCCAGGCAGCCAAAGGAGAGCAAAGCAGCAAATCTTCGTTGTTTGCAAGGATCCAAGTCAAAGCCTCGAGACAAGGAAAAGGGCAGCAGGGAGAGGGACCGCAGCCACCCCATGGCACAGAAAAGGCGAGACTCACTCTGGCAGAGGAGCTTCTCAGTCACACAAGGCGTTTTGCTCACTTCAGGTAGTTTATTTGGTAAGAAGGTGTCGCTCCTCTCTGTCTTTAGAAGGCCTGTGGTGTGCAGCAGGCCATCACTACAAACGATGGCAAGAATGGATGTTTTCCACAGCAGGACTGCACACAAAGGCTCGTGCTGGAAAGCACTTGTTAAATTGATGCTCGAGAGTGTCTGTCCGCAAGCAGCTTTATTTTTAGGAGTAGGAAAACATGGGATTGCTTCTTCTTCTCCCTTCACGGGGCCAAAAGGGGACAGGTCTTTCTGTGTGGTACGGACAAGTTTTCCAGAGGGTTTTCGGTGTGGCAGCCTCGTTTGTTTAGTGCGTCCCCCTGAGGGCAGGTCTGCGGAAAACGTCACCCTCGCCCACAGCAGCTTCCCCCACGGCGGGCAAAGGTGCAAGGGCGAGGCGCGCAGCCCGCCGCCCGTTTCTTCACCCCAGAGGGATGTCAAACGCGCGCCCCGCCGCACGCGGGGCACAGCCGCCCGGGCGCCACAGCGGGGCGGGACGCAGCACGACGGGCACCCCCGGTCACGCGGCGCTGCGCGGCGTTGCGTGGCCTTGCACGGCGTCGCGTGGGGCTGCACGGCGTTGCGTTGAGCGGCGTTGCACGGCGCACCGCCGCCCGCGGGCGCCACACAATGCGCGGGCGCTGCCGCGCCGTGCGTGCAACAACGGGTGCGTGTGCAGCAACGGCTGCGTGTGCAACAGCGGCTGCGTGTGCAACAACGGGTGCGTGTGCAACAGCGGCTACGTGTGCAACGTGCGTGCAAGGCGCTGCACCGCCCCC